TATAGTGTGTGACGGCGCATGTCCGCGACATCGATGGGTACATGAGCGCCTGATATGAGCACCTGTAGCTCACCATAGTCAAACATCTGCAGCCAGGCAAGGTCTATCACGTCTGCCACGCCCTGCTTGAAGCAGTGACAGTGCTGCTTGATCTACCGGGGGATAGAGATAGAGATATAAATATATATATATGTATATATATAACATCTGCAGCCAGGCAAGGTCTATCACGTCTGCCACGCCCTGCTTGAAGCAGTGACAGTGCTGCTTGATCTACCGAGAGACAGAGATAGAAATAAATAAATAAATAAATAAATAAATAAATANCCACCAGCATGTTCTCATACAGAGCCTGTAACCATGACAACCATGATCTCCACCAGCATGTTCTCATACAGAGCCTGTAACCATGACAACCATGACAAACGGGATCTCCACCAGCATGTTCTCATACAGAGCCTGTAACCATGACAACCATGACAAACGGGATCTCCACCAGCATGTTCTCATACAGAGCCTGTAACCATGACAACCATGACTCAGGATGCGGGAACGCATGCACCGTCCCAGCACACCGTCCCTCGTCCCTCACCCTCTCTGTTTCCCCTTCCTTTACCACTTATCTCTCGTCCCTGCTCCTCGGCATTCTGCTTTTCCACTTCATTGCTCGCCACTCTCTCCCGTCTCTCTCTCTCTCTCTCTCTCTCTCTCTCTCTCTCTCTCTCTCTCTCTCGCTCTCTCTCTCTTACCCTCTCCCTTCCGCACTCTCTTTCCCTTCCCCCACTCTCTCTCTTCCCCCCTGTCTCTCTCTCCGTGGCGCGTTACCTTGCCCAGCATGCGACCGATGAAGTAGTAGTGACGCTTGAAGTTGTCAAACAGCACAGGAGCCTGCGGGTTCGGGTAGAGCTGCCGGTCGTGCGTCGTGCGGAAGAACCCGCGATTCGGATCGAAGCAAGTCTTCAGCAGCTCCGACAGAAACTCCCTGAAGATGCCACCACCGTCGATGCCGGCCTCGTCCAGCCCGGCGAAGTTAACGAGCTGCACGTGTGTATCGTCTGCTCACAGAACCGAACCTGAAGCTGCGCATGCGATGCCAATCAAAACCATATTTTATTATTTATAAATGATTATTTAGTGAACAAACCGATCGTAGACGAAATGGGAATGGGGTCGATTTTAAGCGTAGAGGAATTGGGAGTAGGCTAAATGGGCTAAATGGAATTTTGCTGTAGACGAAATGGGAATTTTGCCATAGGCGAAATGGGAGTACGGAGTAGGCCAACCGGTAATAAACCTAGCTGCCGACGCGAGCGCTGAGCTAGTTGCAGATCGCGCCGTTTATGCGCATGACGTGGGTGAAACCTGCCGACGACCCTGCTGCAGAATGGGTCATGATTCGTGGGTCCTTGATGGGTTATGGTCCATGGTTCGTGGGTCCTTGATGGGTTATGGTCCATGGTTCGTGGGTCCTTGATGGGTTATGGTCCATGGTTCATGGGTCATGATTTGTGGGTTCTTGATGGGTTATGGTCCATGGGTCATGGGTCATGATTCGTGGGTCCTTGATGAGTTATGGTCCATGGTTTATGGGTCATGATTCGTGGGTTCTTGATGGGTTATGGTCCATGGTTTGTGGGTCATGATTCGTGGGTCCTTGATGGGTTATGGTCCATGGTTCGTGGGTCATGATTCGTGGGTCCTTGATGGGTTATGGTCCATGGTTCATGGGTCATGATTCGTGGGTCCTTGATGGGTTATGGTCCATGGTTCGTGGGTCCTTGATGGGTTATGGTCCATGGTTCATGGGTCATGATTCATTGGTCACGATGGGTCATGATGGGTCAAGATCCGTGGGTCATGGCCATGAGTCATGGATCATGATGGGTCATGATTCGTAAGTTACGATGGGTCATCTCCATAGTATCGCCGTGACTAACGCTTCGTCTGCGCCCTCGCAGCCCGGGGACCTGAGACAACCCGCCATCGTCATCGCCGCATGCCTCGATGCGATCAACGACGCTCGCCACGTGGGGGCGCTACTCGACATGGTGGACCGTCACCCGGACGCGTCTCCGCTCGCCGCGCTCTGCCAGATCTGCCACAACGTGATGGGTGGCGCGCGCATGCAGGCCGTACACAGACACAGGTGAGCGCGCGGCGTTCAAACACAGTATGTCGATCGCTGTGGTTCTTTGACGGATTGGAAGCCGGAAACCAGGGGGTTTGAATTACGAAACGACGATATTAGTGATCGGCATTGACTTTTATTCTGCGCGGCGTGGCAACACCTAGTGTGTGTAAACAGCGGAGCATTTTGACATCAGACTCATCATGTTCAACATATTGGTTATGAAATTTCATTGATAATGTGTCATAATTGTGAATATATTAATAAATGTGGTTATGAAATTCATGATCGACATCGTTCTGCGTGGCACGACAACATCTAGCGTGTGGAGACAGCACAGCTTTAATTAAATATTAATATTATAATTGTACATATAATAATTCCATCATAGAATGAACCTAATGAAACTCTATATGATTGGTCGCAGTAAGAACACCTAGAGGGCGTTATTCAATGATTATTACTGGCAGGTGGTGCCTAAGCAACTGAGGCAGTGCGGAAAGAAGGCATTTTTAATTATTCTTAAAATATTCGTTTAATTATTTTAATTGTTTCTCTTAATTATTCTTCTGTCACTGCTCATCGCTGATGCTCTTACAGGTTGCTGTCTACGCTAGCGTTCCAGCCTACCTTCCTCCGACAGCTGTGGCTTAGCGTGAAAAACATGGCGACGCCCACGATCACAGGGTACACAAGTTTATAAGACTACCCGTCAAATGTCAGTCGCAGCATCAACCTGTTCCTGGCTGTAGTAACATTATTTATATTAGTAGTATTATTCTTAGTAGCTTAATTAGATATTAGGTTATGCGTCATCAGCATTAACTTACGTCTGGAATCTGTGTATGTATTCTATGTTATTCTACATTCCGGCTGTTGCGCATAGTTTTGTTTATAACGTAAAATACATCGTACCCATATGTGATCGTAGATCTTAACGAAACTCTATATGGGGGCTGGTCGCAGCAAGAACACCATGCAGCAAGCGCTTTATGATGATTCTTACTAGCTGGTGGTGCCTGCGTAACGTCGCAGTGCGAAAAGTGGCGAAGGCGTTTTCTTAAAATATTCTAATTATTTTAATTATTTCTCTTAATTATTCTTTAATTATTCTCGTGGTAGTGCGAATGTGGCTACCCAGATGGCGCCACTAACGCTTCGTTCCCCCGTCTCTCTCGTAGGTCTAGCGTGCGTCTGCTGCAGCTGCTGTCGCGAGGACTCCACCCCGAACCGCACGACGCTCAGCGCATCGTCCCCCAGGTGGCGCTGTTCTGCGCGCTGTACGGAATCTCGCTGCTCACGTTACACGACGATGAGTTCTACCAGGACACAGGTGCGTGACCTTCGTAGTGACCTTTGTAGTGACCTCTGTAGTGACCTCGATAGTGACCTCAATAGTGACCTCGGTAGTGACCTTTGTAGTGACCTCTGCCCAGTGACCTTTGACCAGTGACTCTCTTTCGCTCCCCCTTCGCTTTCTCTTTCTCTCTCTCTTTCCCTTTCTCTCTCTCTCTCTCTCTCTCTCTCTCTATTTCTCTTTGTCAATATGACACATAATAGTGTGTGATTTCTCCCGTAGATGGCGCTGAGCGTTCCCCGTCGATGGCGTTCTCGCTGCACGAGCTCGTCTCGCTCACGCAGACGCTACGTGACGTCGCGCTGGGGTTGCTGGAGCTCACGCACCCGCAGACCGTCCACCAGAACTACCTACGTGCGCTGACGAGCGTCGGCAAGCAGCAGCAGGCAGGGGGCGCCACCACCGTGCACAGCCTCCACCGCTGGTCAGACCTGTTTCAGGTACCGTAGTGCGTTGCTGCGTCGATGGGGTGTTTTCGGGGGAGATGTTCAATGATTTGATTTAAAAAAATTTAACGTTCCGCAGGCTTAAATATACGTATGCAGTAACATGTAACGTGTACAGTAGCGTATACGTAATGTGTAGCGTAGCGTACACATAACGTGTAGCGTAGCATTGCGTACACGTAACGTGTAGCGTAGCGTATAGTGTGCGTAACGGTCCGTATTAAAGAAAGTCATGCTGCCACTTTGTGAAATATTATGCGTGCTTAAATATGATTTAATACTATCTGCAACACGCATGCATATGGTGGGCTTTTAAAAGAGTCATAACTCACTGTATAACATTCTGCATGCTTGCGCATTACCGCGCCGCTGCGCCGGCGCCACCTGTCCTCCACGTTCTCACCCGACGTCGTTGCAGATGGTGTCGTTGTTGGTGCGGCAGCTCTATGCACGCGACACGCGTCGCCCGTTCTGTCCGCCCGGTCACTGGATCGCGCAGAGTCTGCTGCTGCAGGCAGATCGCCCACGACAGCTGTTCCAGCACTACCACGCCGGCACCACGCTCACCTCCCCCGGGCAGCAGCCGCCGTCGATCAGTGAGTACAGCAGCGCCATCTGGCGAGCGATCGTCGCAGGACGCGTCGCGTGATCGATCGTGGAAGTTTGATTGGGCGGCGACAGTTTTTCGATTTTTGTAAATTGTAGTATCTTTCTGTCTCTCACCATACATCCCTACGGAGGCATAACATTGTAAGGATTTGATCGAACGATTCCTTCTGAATATCTTCAATGCCATTCCCAAACGTTTATTGTACGGTAAAAGAAGGGAGTCTGATTGGTACGATATGCGAGTGGCTACTCACGCTGCTCTCTGATTGGCCACGTTGTTTCAGCGCCCGCGGAGGCGGCGGATTTACCGGCGTTGTCGGTTACGGAGGCGCGGAATCTAGCCGTGCTCACCGAGCTTCCCTTCATCGTGCCGTTCGAACACAGAGTCAAGGTATGTGAGCGTGTGTGCGTGCATGCGTGCATGTACGTGTGCATGTGTGCGTGCATGCGTGAGTGTGTGCGTGCATGCGTGAGTGTGTGTGTGTGTGTTTGTGTGCGTGCGTGCGTGTGTGCATGTGTGCGTGCATGCGTAAGTGTGTGTGTGTGTGTTTGTGTGCGTGCGTGCGTGTGTGCATGTGTGCATGCATGCGTGAGTGTGTGTGTGTGTGTGTTTGTGTGCGTGCGTGTGCGTGCCAGTGCATGTCTGTGTGCTTTTACGCGCTCTTGCATCTGTATGTGCATTCATACGAGTGCATATGCGTGTGCGTGCCTGCCTGCGTCCTTTTTTTCTCGTAATGTATGTAAAGAATAATTATTACAGCGTTCTATTTTCTACTTGCAGATATTTCAGCAGCTGATAACCTCTGACAAGGAGGACAACCACCGTGACCGCGACAGCTTTGCGATCGGACCTTCGATCAACACTCTAGTCCGCCGAGGATACCTGTACGAAGACGCATTCGATAAACTGTCGCCGGAGAATGGTAGGACATCTCATAAGGCTCCCGTATGACCACCCAATATTAAATAAAAATATATAATTCTTATTACCTATGATTAAATGCCTACTGAAGGGTGTATTTGTTTCCTCGATCCCGCGAACCCAGTCTTTGCTGCACATTTTTTCAGCTTTAATCCTGTATATTGTTCGTTTAACCCCCGTAGATCATTTTTATAAACTTTATGTAGTCTGTTTAACCAAGTATATAGTCTTGTTTAATCCTTGTATAGTCTGTTTAACCAAGTATATAGTCTGTTAAAAATTCTTGTATAGTCTGTTTAACCCCGTACATTATCTGCTTAATCAATTTTTCCTTTACCTTGCCCCTTATGTCACCTGCCTAACCCAGCGTGTGTATAAGCGCGTGTGTATCGTCTGCTCACAGAACCGAACCTGAAGCTGCGCATGCGCGTGCAGCTCGTTAACTAACTCCAGCGATATAGACAGGGAATAATTTTCCCGGTATCGCATCGCAATTCGCGATGTATTTTCAGCCATTTGCTACGCATATTTTTTTATGAATCGCAGTTGTGCGATGCAGCCCATGCGAGATGTAAACGGAAACATACATGTTTACAATTTACTTTTATTCTCGGGCTGTTTTGCCGCGTCAATGAAATGCCACGTTACGCCGATTTTATTGACTTGTTAAGGGCCGGACACACCAGGCGATGCCATCGGCCGATGATCGGCCGATG